GCGGTCAGCAAACAGCCCCTAGAAGCTCGGTCAGGCAGTGGTTTCCGATCATTGTGTTATCGTCTGTTTCTCGGGTGCGTGGAGAGCCGCATCCCGTTGGCGAGCGCAGAAGGTCCTCTGCTGCCCCTGCTAGCCACGGCCCACGCTGAATGAACCTCATCGCCTTCCGGCACGTATAAGCCACAAGCTACACGTCTCCTACCGCGAACCGCGAACCGCGCGCCGGTGCACGCTTCTCGCCCGCGTCCAACCTTGCGAGCTTGGTCCCCGGGTCTGCCAGCACAGCGGCCTAGTACTGACCAGCTTCGTGTTTGCGATGCGGCCTGGATCACAGCGTCTTCGCTCGCACCAGACATGTGAACGTACGCGTGTATCGATTCGCTCTGCGTCTAGCGCAGACAATGTAGATGCGGCGCGATAATCACCGTCCATCGGGTGATCGGTCGAGGAGGGCTTCCGGGGCTCGATATGCGAATGTTGGTACTGTCGGGTTGGGCCACCACGAGGGCGGCGCGCTGCCGTCTTCCTTTGTGGCATCCCTTCGGATGCCGCGTCGCGTCCGTTGCGGTGCGTGGGCGACACCATCTTGATGGCGCTTGACGGATTGCAGTTGACTGTTAGGCGGACGGATGCAGGCCGCACCGACGGAGGAACGTCGAGTGCCTGGCGCCTCGACGCGCTTGGTCTGGTAGAGCAGCGTGCTTGTGGCTGTTCTAGGGCTGGTACAGGCTTCATGAACACTTCCGACGCTTTCTGTTACATCTGCAGAGAAGCGTGTGCATACAGGGAGATCACCTGTACATTGAGCGAACTTGTTGATATATGCTGGCAACAACCAACACGTTCGACGCGGAAGACGTCCTTCCGGGTCATACGTGTTGCGTTCTATGCACATTCCCTTTCCTCCCACGAAGACATCGGCCGGTCGACGCTGTCTCTCGGAGCGCGATCATGTCCACTCGCGCGGAGACAAAATGGGATACGCACGCCCGTGTTAGCAATTGCGGAGCACGGGTGGTACTCCTGCGCTCTGCGATTCAGGGTGCCCCATCCGGCCCAAGCAAGTCATTGAGGAAAGGACCGCCGGAACCCCAGCGGTCGTGGGGTGGTGCCCAGAGGATGCGCCACTGCTACGCAGTGAAAAGTGAGACGGATGAACATCAGAGACTTTAGCATCCAATGAGATGATGATTTCAACGCCACCCGTCGAGCGACCCGGTTTTTAGTCGGCGCACAGGAGGAAGAGGAGGATAGAAGTCGGCCGGTGAATCCCACGTGGATGCAGAGATCGATAAGTGCAACAAGGTGGAGGGACGGAAACAGACAGCGCCCGGCGCTTGAGAACGGCTGAGCTGCATAGGCGCGCGCTCGACCGTGTGCATGTCAGAAATTCTCCGGGCGAGTCTGAGTGCGGCATCCAGGAAGAGAGGAAGAAAATCAAGATCAAGGGAGATGTATGATGAGCGCTCAGAGGCCATGCATGCAGATACGATGTACGCGTACCCGGGCTCGCATGGGTACGTTGGACGAGAGGGAAAGACTTGGCGGAGCGGGCGGTTGATAAGTAGGCGTATTACCAGTGTAGGTCGGGGAAGGAAGGCGGAGGCGGGGCGGGGCGGGGGAGGCGGCGTTGCTGGTGCGGACACAGAGCGGGGCAACGCGACGAGGGGGGATTTGATAAGCTCGCAGAGGCGGATGCGAGGGCGCGGGTGGGCGAGTCGGTGGCGGAGCTGCAGCTGGCCGAGTGCGACGACGAACGCGCTTCCTCGTCTGATCTCGTTCGGCGCTTCGTGGTGCTGAGAGCGAGCGTCCGTTGCTGTCCGTGGCGTGGCGCGCGGCGATGCGATGTCGTCGAGATCAGAATGCATCCAGCAAAATCCCATCCAAGTCGCAAAGGGTACCGAAGGAATCCGGGAACGTGCGACGCTGCAGCGTATTTCGCAACCCAAGAAGATGATTTTACCAGAAAGTGGTGCGCCACCTGTGAGACACACACGCTCCTGCATCTGCTCTAGACGACTCCACTGCCGCCCAGTCCACTGTGGCGCAACGGAGAGACAATCGACAGACGCACACGCATCGGTGAGTCTGCGCTCGCTGTGTGGCGTATAGAATGGAGCCTAGGCGAGATGGAAATCCTCGACCACGCACGCCTGCGCTTGACCACCGCAGCGCGCGATAGAATCGCAAGCCGCGCACGACGCACCCACCCAGCCTCAGGCTCCCAGCTAAAATGAAGCCGCGAGGCCGATCGCTCCGCGAGCCGCCCTCGGCCCAGCGAGCTCTGCCTGCATGCACCATTGCGCGTCCAAGATTGCGTTCTGCGCAGCTGGGTGATGGTCGGGCCGTAAGCACGCCCCACGCTGACGCTGTGCTCATGTCCGTGGCGCGTTGACGCTAGCTGCTAGCAGATTTCGGCCGTCAACGTTCCAACCAACAGCGCGCAATCGAGAATGGTGGCGTCTGCGGACGGGGTTGTAGCCGCTCGAGGCAGGCTCGAATCGGGAGAGCAAAGAGCAAAGAGCGCGTCGAGCCATTTCCCGATATCGATGTAGCATAGAACCTGAATTCGCTAGTTGGACTGCGCGAACCGAGATGTCCCGCTAGTCGTATACAGTGGACGCTCTCTAGAATGAAGATAAGTACGCGAGTGGCGCACGCACTATCGGACCATCCTCCTCAGTGATAACTGGTGACTCCCCATTGCGACACACGCAGATACCAATGTCTTGCTACATCGTACACATACCATGAGTATTGCACAGGCAATAAATAGCCTAGCACATCACCATCAGCATATCCGCCAGAGACAATCAAGCCACCCAAGTCGAGACGCGACACACGTCTAATATCCAAGCTGGACCGGCCTGTCCGTGTCCAGCTCCTCGATCGAACACACCTCAAACGCCGGGTCATCCACGCCCGCGAAGCCCGCCTCGTCGAGGGCGACGTAGTCGAAGTGCGCCTGCATCCATGAGTCCCCGGAGCAGCCCAGATCGAGCCCCCGGAGGCACAGGCAGGCGACCGTGCCCCATCTGCAGACCGACTCCCACAGGTCGCAGACGCGGAAGCGCGCGGGGCCGAGGGTGTACTTCGATATCTCCAGGAAGGCGACCCTGCCGGGCGGATCCCCCAGGTGGAGGTATATGTCGCGAGCCTGCAGCTGCAGCCGCGCAAGCCGTGGCGCGATCCCGACGAGATGGTGGTGAGGGAGGGGAGGGGCAGCGGCGCGCACGGCGGACGGCGGCGTGGGGGCGTCTGCGCCGACGAGGACGACGACGCGCGTCCGGAACTCGGACACGGTCCGCATGGCGTCCCGCCACGCGCTGCACACGCCCGCCACGGTGTGCGGGAACGCGGCGGCGGGGTGGAAGGCGTGCGCGTCATGCCAGCCGTGGTAGGGGGGCGGCGAGACCGCGGAGTTGTGCGACAAGTAGTACACCTGCTTGAAGATCAGGACTAGCACGTCGAGCGGGATCTCGCGCGCGGTCCCGTTGCGATTGGCGGGCTCTCCGATCGTCGTCGTTGTCGTCGTTGTCGTCGTTGTCGTCGTTGTCGTCGTTGTCGTCGTCGTCGTCGTCGTCGTCGTTGTCGTCTTTGACTGCACAGCTTCGTCGGAACACGCGCCCGTGTGGGGCCCCACAGCGGGTATTTGGCCATCCGTGAGGGCGCGCTAGGAGCAGGATGAGACAGGAGCTGCGCCGTATATCGTTCGGACGACACACCATAGCCAAAGCACAACCAAAGTCTCCTCGACTGTGTCTGTAATCCCGTGTCAGGAACTCGATGCTGTCGACCAACAAGAAAGTCCCGGCTCCAAGTGTATTTGTCCGGACAGCGTGCGGGGACCCACTGTCCTTTCACCGCCCAGGCCGCAACAGAGCGAGAAGAGCAGCATTATATACGCGGGCGTTGGGCGCAATGTGATGCCAGCGGCTAGGACACAGGGCTCGAATTCCTCCTCGCACAACGTTCCTTTGGCGGACCTCCCAGTACGGCGAGCATGTCAGTGCTCGCAGTGCTCGACGCCCTTCACTTTTGTTCTTGATCGCGAGAGGCAGCTATACTATGTTGCTCCTGTGGTCGTGGCGGCGGTACGCTCGGGCTGCGGCTGCGTGTTCTCTTCTTCACAATTTCGGCGTATGGTCGTGGTGCACGGGAGGTGCAAAGCGGGACTATCGTCATCGCGCTCCGGCACTTCTTCGTTCGCACACCGCTTCCCCCGGTGCGCTGGTCGGGAATGTACGATGCAGCTTCAGGTGAGCTTTGACGGAATAAGTTCGAATGTATGACGCGACTCCATTCCATCAAGATTCAACACTGCCGCTGTTTACGACCACCTGGGCACCCACTCGTAGTCATCCAACTGCCCATCAATCAACACCGGCTTGAGCTTCCGTTGTGCTTTTCGAGTCTGTTGACAAGACAGGCCAGAACGCGTCCTCGATGGGTCTTTTGATATCACGACACTGGTGTGATCTCATTACTGAATTGGTCTATCACGTATCTGCTCGCTGTTAAAGGTACAGATCCAGCGCGAGGTACTCGTCGTCAGTCGGATGAAGGCTGCGCGAAATCACCAGTCTGCTGTCGTTCAGTATTCGACGGATTGATTCTCCACCACGAAGATATGGCGTCACTAGAAAGGGACAATGTGGATGCGGCTGACGCACTGGACAGATCTTGGGTGCGTACCGACTCTCCCGTGCCATTCTATTCTATCCAGACGATCAAATGCTTCTTCGTAAGGTGTCTGCAGGTCTATCGCACGGGTTAGTTGTCCAATGCTACTTATCGGTGGACCTGCTTTGCGTGTGCTATGTCTATACACTGCCCGAAACGATTCCTATCACTAGTGGGAGACCGGACTGACAGCCTGGAATAACCCACCCATTCGACCGCGTGCATATGTCCCTGTGTGCCTGGCCATGTAAATGAAGGAATGTCGGCCGACGCTGTACCGTGGGGGCGACAAGAGTGCGGAAACGCTGCCCGTCGGATGTGCAAGGTAATGTGTACCCTGAAGGTGTCCCCAGATGACTGCCGCTTACATGCAGCCCAAAGTAGAACACGACAGTGATCTGACCCACATCTCCCCGTAGCTCGTTCTGGTGCCGTGGACGCCGACGCCCGTTGGAGGTGGCCAAGTACCCGCAGGTCCTAGAACCACGCAGAGCTTCGAGAAACAACGGTCTTTCACCGCACGCTCCAGCCCGGAACCAGTTCACGGCGGAGCGCTGTGCCACCGGCACATCCAACTGACAATGCGAGCGCTCCTCCGACAGCCTCCGGTGCGTGGAGCTGTATGTGCCACTGCCGCAAGTGCACCCGCAGACACGTCTGTGAGGCTTCGACCTCAGACGTTTGTGTCCAGGGGGACGGACACAGCTACTTGGTCCGAGACAGATCCATCAGAATCTCCCATCGCTCCATATTCAGATGTTCCTGTGGTGCGCGAAGCCTCTGCATTGTATTGCATCTCAGGGCTCATAACGTTGCATGTTCGTGCCCTAGGACAGATATGTATAGCCTCGAACGGTGTTCCTAAAGTTCGGCTTATGACGAAGGTGGCCAGAGCTTGTTGCGAATGAGACGACCCGAAGTAATGAAGCTCGAGCGATGCCGTCTGTCTCGTTGCCAAACGCGTGCTGGCTCGCGCCGCACAGAATGTGGTCAGTGGTATGACACCCCTTGGTCTGATCGCCCCCGTGTACTTGGCCCGACACGAAACGGTTTCGAATTTGTCGAGTGCATTTTCGCAAGAGGCTTGGAGCCAATGGAGCCAAAGCGTGCATCCGATCGAGATTGCACCTACAGCAGCGGACTCGCCGAATCTTCACGTCGCCTCCTAACTGACCATCTTGCCTGACCCAGATCTTTGAGCAAATTTCGAATGCTGGTTCTCTCAGAACAAGCCTAGCCCGTCCGCGCTCCACGCCTATTCTCACCACCCAACGGCCAAACGGTTTCTCCACCGCATCGTCCGCAAGTGGCCAATCCAACGGTGCACTCGAACCACCTGCCCTGCCGTCCTCGCAGCCTCCCACCACGTCCGCCGCCGCCTGAGTCCCTCAGCAGACACGCTCGCAGCTACACAGTCAAACAGGCGCACCCGGCCCATCTGACCCCCGCGCCCCCATCGACGACACGCCCACACGCCACGCACACGACGCAGCGACCACCGCCGCCTGCGCTTGGCAGGGACGAGCCCCCGCCCGCTAGTCTGCGCGCTAGACCAGCCAGCGGCAGGGCGTCGACCGTCGGCCCCGCAGCAGCGCGGGGCGCC